ATTATTTAAAGTAAAAAAAAAAAGAACCCTGTAAAATCTTTGTAACTTTTTGATCAGTCGAAAATCCTGACAAAATAAAAAGTGTATTACATAAATGAATGAGGCTGGGATGGGAGTAAAAGACAGAAAGATGTCCTTGAACAACAATTAAAATTAAAATTTTAAAAAATAAATTAACAATTAAAAAATAATAATAAATGAATGACAGAATAATTGAATCCTAACTCAGTAGTTTAGACAGCCAAAGCCCCTGAGCTGGAGACTGGCCTTCCTTCATTCAAAAGGATTATTAGTAAATTTTAGAGCCCAATGGAGTCTTATGCAGCCTTTTAAAAGAAGGAAATCCTCCCATTGCGACAACATGGATGAACCTGGAGGACACTGTAGAAAGAGGAGTGAACCAGACACACAAGGACCAATGCTACACCATCTCACTCATGCGTGGCACCTAAAATAGTCAAAGATAGTCGAGCTCATAGAACTAGAGAGTAGAATGGTGGCTGCCAGGAGCTAAGGAGAGGGGGGAGGGAGAAATGGGCAGATATTGGCCAAAGGGTACAAAGTGTTAGTTATGCAAGATAAATGCGTTCTGGGCTCTGGCTGGTGTAGCTCAGCGGATTGAGCTCGGGCCTGTGAATCAAAGGGTCGCTGGTTCGATTCCCAGTCAGGGCACATGCCTGGGCTGCAGGCCAGGTCCCCAGTGAGGGACACATGAGAGGCAACCACACACTGATGTTTCTCTCTTTCTCTTTCCCCTCTCTAAAAATAAATAAATAAAATCTTTTTTAAAAAAGATAAGTTCTGGAGATCTAATGTACAGCATATGACCACAGGTAACAATACTGTCTCGTATATATTTGAAATTCGCTAAGATGATCGATCTTAAAGTAAATCTACACACACACACACACACACACACACACACACACACAACTGGTAACCACATGGGGGGAGGGAGTAAGTTATTCAGCTTGATTGTCGTAATCTTCACAAGGTATACACACGTCAAAACATCAACTTGTGTGCCTTAAATACACATAATTTTATATGCTAAAATATCTCAATAAAATTGTTTTTAAAAGAAATATTTATATATACACTTTTTGTTTGTTTGTTTGTGAACCTGTAAGTCACAAAGAAAAATCTTTAAATATTAGATAAGTAATGGCCTTGATTATCAGTGGTTTACAAGAAACAAATAAAAAGTATACCTTAAAAAATAAAAGATTCAATAGCATCAAACTATTCTCGACAGAATAAGGACTGGAGGGAATAACTTTCTCATGTAGGATCCAAAGCAATTTAATGCAAGCTCATGTACCAGCTAAAGGTACTTTGGATGCCATCAGTGATATGGGTCTCCGCATTAGAACATATCAGACCAGCTCAAGTGCAAAGCATTCTTAGGTAAGAAGCAGGTAGAAGTCGTCACCCAAGTCTCTGTGTAAGAGATAAGGTAGAGGACTACAGAATTATTGCCTAGCACACAAGAACAGTGGGGGAAAATATTAACCCAAATGGCTTTGACCCCCAACCCCTGCCACATAGCATAGCCAATTCCAGTTGATGGCCCAATTAACAAAAAGAGGTTGTTTGTGGGTCAAAGATGCTTTAGGGACCCAAGAAATTGCCCAGCAATGTAACAATACCCACAATAACCACAAACCACCTGCAACACCCTCTACCCTGTCCTTCCTCTAAGGCGTGTCCAGCTCCTCCTGATGAGAGGAGCGTCCTCCTGTTTATTTCTGAGCGTCATTAGGAAAGAAGCAACTATGATCCATCTTCTGAGTCATTCAGTCTCAAGTTCATCATAACAGTGTCATAAAGATGCTCTATAGGAAAAGATGCGGGCCACCTTCAGTGAAATCATTTCCGAATTCAATCCCATTCGACAACAATCGGTGCCAGGCCACGCCCCACCTATATCCCAGAAAGACGGACATCTGTGGGACATAGCAAAGGAGCCATCCTCTGCTGGGAATCCATTATCTGCAACTCACACGAATACCTGTGAACTGGTCTTGATAGTTAAACCTATGAGAGGTCAGGATAGCAGAATCAGCCAGATCCAGGATCAAGTCCTGGCTCCAACGTGTTGTAGCTTGGTGACCCTGGCCAAGGTGTTTAACCTCTCGGAGCTGGGGTTCCTTCTTCTGTGAAACAGGCTAATAATAGTATAAACTGCATAGGATTAAATGATATAAAATATGTATGAAAAGCACACAGAGCCAGCCACAAGGATAATGCTCCCTAAACAGTATTCATGGTTAGTTCTACAATTTCTGGGACAATAGAATCCAGTCATGTAGTTGGTCCAAATCTGATTGTTCATCAGAGTCACCAGGGGAACTTGGTAAAGTATAAATTCCTGGGTTTCCAAACCCCTGAGAAATTCTAAAATGGGTGGGTCTGGGCAGGGCCAAGAACCTACGCCCCCATCACGTACTTCTATTGCACCTAGCTCATGGTAGGCACCCTACACAGCCCAGACTATTGCAACAGCTTCCTGACTGGTTGCCTGTGTCCATTCTTAGCCCTCTGACCTCCACAAAGAGCCAGGGAGATCCCTTTAAAACATGTGACCAGCCCTGGCTAGTATAGCTCAATGGATTGAACACAGGCCTGCAAATCTAATGGTTGCCGGTTCGATTCCTAGTCAAGGCACATGCCTGGGTTGCAGGCCAGCTCAGGTCCCCAGTAGGGGGCATACAAGAGGCAACCACACAAGGATGCTTCTTTCTTTCCCTATTTCTCCTTCCCTTCTCCTCTCTCTAAAGATAAATAAAATTTTTTTAAAAACCCATGTCACATCACTGCCTCAAACCCTCCACAACTCACTATCTCACGCAGAATAAAATCCACAGACAGGCCCTGCGTCAGTGCTTCCTGATGCTGGGCACACATTAGAATACCTGGTGAGCTTCTGAACGATACCTATACCTGGGCTAACCCTAGACCCGCAGAATGAGGATCTCTGGGGGTCGGGGCCCGGGGGGGGCGGGGTGCTAGATAAAATATAGAACACCCAGTTATATTTGCATTTCAGATATGCAATGAAAACTTCTTTAGTATAACTATGTTCTGGACACTATTAGGACATTCTCCTACTAAAAAAGTATTTCTTTGTTGTGTACCTGAAAATCAAATGCAGCCGGGTATCCTGTATTTTTATTTGCTGCATTGGGTGACTTCGGCCCAAGACCAGCCTCTCCCATGCTATATCTACAACGCCGAGAACCTCGCCCGCTACTCAACAAATTCTGGTCGAATTAGTTAATGGTTATGAAACAGCTTCTCCTTCTAGCACAACCCCCTAAACATTCCTTTGGGAGAAGCAGACAGAAGACATCTTAGTAGAAGTGTCTTTCACCAAGACTGAGAGCAGTTAACTTTTACCCAGCACGTCCCGTGCGCCCAACCCTCACAAAGTCCTTCAGCTGTACATTCTCATGTAGTCCTCTCGGCAGCCCTCGTGGGGGCCATAATGATCCCCTTTTACAGACGAGGAAGGTAAACTCTTCAAAGTCCAACACCAAACCTCAAAACTTGTAAGAGCATGCACTGGAGGGGAAGACCTGTTTCCCCAGCTTTCCCACAGCAGCCTTGGCTGTGGCTTAGGTCCCGTGTGCTGTTCGGTGCCAGGAGCAGGGTGCGGGGTGGGCAGTGGCTGTAACTGGATGCAATGTGCAGAGTTGAGAGTGTTCAACACAGGATCTCAAACCAAGCTAGAGACAGGGCAAAGCACGTGTTAGAGACACGTGCACGATGATGCCTGGTCCCTCCCAGCCACTGAGAGGAGGTCCGGCTGGAGGCTTTCTGTTGGCGTCACGTCCACATCGTTACTAACATTCTATCTTGACAAGACCCACATGCTCAGATATAACTCCCCATGCCCTTAAAGGATGCACACGGTTGACGCATGTGACCTCAGTAGGCAGAGAGGCCATTATTCTTGGTCTTGATTGGCCAGGGTGGAGGTGAGCAGGCGAAGGCCCAGAGCACTCTCCAGAGGCAGGCAGGAGTCACAGATTCTGCACTGGCAGCTGGTCTCTGACCCCGTCCACTGTCTCGTCCACTCAGGGCGGTGCTCTGACTTCACCGAAGGAGCGGCAGCCTTCGTGGCCACGGTGGCTCAGGCTCCCACCCCGGCGCTCATTAGCCCTGTGGCTACTGCCTGGCCGGCCCTCAGCCTCAGTCTCCTATCCTGTAGAATGCGTGTGATAAGAATGTACAGGGCTGTTAGGGGAATAAGACCCATTCGTGAGTTCATTAAGTGACTCTGAGCACCTGTCAGGCGCCTGGCACAGTCCCTGGGGCTGGACACACAGCTGAGGACAAGGCAGCCAAGACTCCCATTCTCCAGGCTTTTACATTCTAGTGGGGATGGCAGATCATAAACTGCAAACAAAATGGTCAAAATAATACCAAAGAGTGTGAAGTACTGATTAAGTAGAACAGGACTGGAAGGCTGGTATGATTCCCCTGCACTTAAAGCAGTACCTGACACACAGTAGGTGCTCAGTAAACATTTGTTCAATGACTGAGTCTGCTGGGTGGTTAGGGAAGACTGGCAGATGCCAGCCCGAGTGGACAGTGCAATGTCAAGCTGGGAACATACGCAGGAAGAGGAAGTTCTGGTGGCAGAGTGCCAGGCACAGGCACCTCAAATGCGAAGGTCCTGAGACTGAACCAAAGTCAGCGTTAGAGAAACCGAAAGACAAATCAGGGAGCCCATGCATATCTCAACACTCTGCAAACTTCAGCGGGGTCTCTGTACACGCGGCAAGGGTGTTTCTGTGGCTGGTCCTTTGATTTTTCCTAATTTACTTTGTAAAATTTCCATCCAAGTCTCTCGCTGTTAGTCCTTCCTTCCACTCCCAGCCAGGACGCCTCGCGGGCACTTTCTTGCAGAGCCAACCCGCACGGCCTTCCCTCGCGCCCTGCCCTGCGCAGCTTCCTGCGGGGCAAACACACCCACAACCCGAGTTTCGCGCCGGGACAGGCCCGTCACTTCCTGAGCCGGCATCCCTGCCGCGGAGTGGCAGCGGGACGAGCCGGGTGGGGACTCGCAGCTCGCGAGCTAGAGCCCGGAAGGCCCCGCAGTCCCGACGCGGCCGGGCCGAGCGCGCCCGGGGCGGACAACCCAGGGCAGGCGGCGACACCGGCCCGGGCCAGCGCCGGCCGGCCGGCGGGACTGGGCCGGGACGGGGGAGGAGCCGGGCGGGAGGAGCCAACTTCGCTTTCGCGCCGCTGCCGCCGCCTTAGCGTCCAGGTAAGGGGCCAGCTCCCGCCGGAGCCACTCCCCACCGCCACCCGCGAGCCCGCTAGCCCTTTGCCCCCCACCGCTTGTGAGCACGGGACCCGCCGGGAGCCGCCGCGGGCTTCCCCTGCGCTGACTGCCGCTGAGACAAGTCGGCCTGGTTGTCGCTGGTTTTCTTTCCCAGCCGGAAGAGCCCTTAGAAATCACGTGGGGAGGTGGCTGGGGAAACTGAGGCGGGGCAGAGCGCAGGGGCTGTCTCCTGCTTCCCAGCTCAGAGTTCGGAGCCCTTAGTGATCACCCAGAGCTTCCCTTGATAAATGAGCCCACTGCTCTGGTCCCAGCTGGAGAAGGGACTTGTTTAAGGTCACACGCACGGGTTCACTGGGCTTCACCTGGTCCCACGCAGCCCCTCCACGCACCACACCAGCCTCTGGTGAGGAAGGCCTCGGGCAGTTGTCGCCCCTTCTGTCCTTGCCCCTGTGGCCTCTGAGCTCACAGCAGACACTGAAACTGAGGCGGTTTAGGAGTCACCTCTGGAGAAAAGCCCAGGCCCCCAATGTTACAGGCCGGTCATGTGTCCTCGCCCAGCTGCCGTTGTTAGAGGGAGGAATTACTGCTGCTAAGTTTAGAGTGGGTTTTACAGCTAAGAAAACAGGCTCAGAGAGGTGGATGATTTCCTCGGGACCACACAGCCAGGAAGGAGAACAGGATAAGGACCTGGGTACCCCACCCCACAGCCTGACCCCGTGGCTGGCGCAGAGTAGGCCCTCACCGTGTCCTTCTCTGCCCTGCCCTGGGGTCACCCAGGGAGTCGGGGCACAGCCAGGCTAGAGCCAGGGTCTTGCCCTGAACACTAGTAACACAGAGTAGGAGTGCACAGGCTGCTTCTCCTTTCCCTGACCCACCCAGTGTTCATGTCACTGCAGAAACACGGAACCCCTTCAAGCTTTGGGGGCATCCATGTATTCATTCAACAAGTACTTATTGAGCACCTACTGTGTGCTGGCGTGAGCATGTTTAGGCACTGAGGATAGAGCAGCGAACCAGCACTGCCCTCCAGGAGTACACCCCAGAGAGTGGAACAGAAGTCTGCTATTCGGTGGGGCAGATGGAGGTGGGGAGGGCTGGGCAGGGAGGAGAGACCGTTGGAATCTTCCCAACCCTCGAAGTATGGCAAGAGGACAAACAGAGACTGAACCTCACAGCCTCCAGCCTCTGAGCCTTTGGTTCTCGCTTGTTGGAGATGCTCTGCCAGCCTGAGCTTTCACCCCACTCCCCAGGGATTTGGGGGGAGGGGGTGCTAGGTGGATAGGGAGTGGTCCAGAGGAAGTCCTAAACTAACCCCAGAGCCTGGAAACCTGCCTCTGCCACTTCCTAGCTGTGCGATCTCATCACCGCACGTCTCTGGGCCTCTGTTTTCTTATACAGTGGGGGTCACGATACTTCACAGAGTTGATGAAACTATGTGAAAATGCTTCACAGATGATAAAGCACAATCCCAAGTGCAGCCGCTGTCAGAAGCCTTGTAAAAGCAGGTGTGAGCTCAGGTGGGTTGCTTTGGAGCCGCTAGGAACCGCGTTGATAACCTGTTACTGCTCTGGGTAAAGAAACGAAAGAGGCAGCGCTGGGGCTGGCTGAGCTCCAGGCGCCCAGACGGAGGCTCCCTGCCCGGCTCCACAAACAATGCTCCTTTCTCTGTCAGCATTTTAGCCTCTCCAAGCCGGGCAGCACGCATGCAGCCCCAGAGAGACGTGGGCTCAGGTCCTGGCTTTGCGGCCTCCTCCAATGTCCTCATCTGTAAACCACCTGTGTCCGAGGTTGTCATGAGGATGGAAGGAGCTGAAGCCACAAAGAGCCCTATGCGGTGCCAGCCGCTCCAGGAGCCCTTGTGCTTTTCTGGCCCAAGGCCCAGGAGCAGTTGGAGGGGCAGAGCCAACTGACTCGGTGCCATAGCTCAGCCTGATAAGCTCCTAGGGTCAGAGCCCACAGAATTTCTCATTGGCCTGAAACCCTCTCTCCCTGCCCTGGGACCAGCAAGCTACAGTGGCTGCAGCAGCCACCCGGGCCTGCACACGTGGTACCTGAGGAGACTGCTGTATGTTTTAAACGGGGGCTGCCGATGAGGCGGGGGTCCCACTGCCTTGAATGTATATAAAGCAGGCAGAATGGGGCTGGAAGGGGGGAATCCGACCCGCTTTCCACGTAGCTACCCTCCAATCGGATTGTACCCTTTCTGTGTAAACCCTGCTGTGGCTTCTCACTTTCTTGGGTTAAAGAACAAAAACCTTAATGCAGACCACAAGGCCACACAGTCTGGGCCCCACCCATGCCCGGCTACTGCTTCAGCCTGCCTCAGACCACTCTGCCCACGGCCCTCTGTGCCTGAGGCCCACGGCTCCTCCCTCCCCAGGGCCTTTGCACATGCTCTTCCAGGCCACTCCTCCCTCATCTCGTTTTTCCTAGGTTAACACCTCCTCAGCCTTCAGATCCGGGCTCAGACTACACTGGTGCCCCAGGCCGCAAGGCATCCTGGGTACGCAGGAAGTTTAGCTCAGGTGGAATTATGCACTCATCCCTGGGAATGGTAATTTCTGCCTGTGCCCGTACACCACCTGGACTGTAAGACCCAGGCCCTCAGGGACTGGTCCGAGTTCGCTTGAAGGGGTGTTCATCCATGAAATCTACTTGTGGGGGTAGCTCTTGAGCAAATGTGGGGACCCCACTTTGTATAAAATGGTATGGTCCTTTGTCAAAAAAAAATAATACTGAAGTCATTTCTTAGCTGTGGGGGTTGGTGTTCATTCATTCATTCATTCTGTCACCTGCTCTGCCAGGCACTGTTCTAGGATACGTCCAGGAACACGATACAAAAGCCAATGCCCTCGCGGAGCTTTCCCTAGTGGGGGAGTCAGACCACCAGCAAGCCTGTAACCCATCGTCTGGTGGGGGCGAATTCCGGAGAGTGGTCACGAGTCTCTGGTGGGAGGGGGAAGTGGTGGTGCCTGCTCTTTCAGAGCCAAAGGGGTCCCGGGGGAGCTCTGCTGGGGAGTCAGGGGGTGGGGGCACTAATGTCCAAGCATCTTCCGCTCCCATCCTGACCCACCTAGTCACGGGCTTGGGCACAGAAGCAGCTAGTCCTGAAACCCGAGAGGAGGTGGGGTGGCCCAGACGAAGCCTGGGGGGCTTCAGAGGTGGCGGGCCCCACGTTAGCTGGACGGGTCCAGGAAGGCCCCTGGCCGTCCCCGAGCCCCTGTAGTGAAGTGGGAAAGAGCCTGGGTGTGGTGGAGTCACGCGGCCTTGTTGTCAACAACAGGGACAAGGGCCGGCGTGACAGACAGGAGTCTTCAGCTATTCGTGATGGCGGGACGGAGGTGCCTGTGGTTCCAGCTCCGTAAATGGTCCCGTCAGGTGGGCTGGGCCCCCAACTGCTCCAGCTGCAGAGGGTGGTGGCAGCTGTGGGCGAAGGGCATGTGCCTCCTGGACTGTGTGTGCTGGTCCTCAGGCACCTCCACCCCTCGGTCTGATCAGGGATCAGGACCCAGTCCAAAGCCAAACTGGATTCTCAGGTGCGTCTGAGGAGCCAGGCTGATGCCGAGACAGGTGCTGGGTTCCTGCAGAGAATGGAGACCCTGCTGGTCCCGGCCACTGGGTCTCTGCCCTCGGGGCCCCTCCGGTGCACAGAGCTTTTCCAGCAGCACCCTGGGCTCAGGAGGTCACTTGGGCGGGGGCAGCCCCCAGCTCCCAGGGGTCTCCTGGGGGTCTTGTTCCCACCTGGGCACTGTAAGGACGCCAAGGCCTGTACTTGACCCAGAAGGGCCCCGACTCTCAGGGACACCACATGGACAAAGTGAGGAGAGCGGGGTGAGCACTGACCCTTGGAGACTGCAAAGGCCAGCTGTGGGCTGGACAGGGATTGTCCTCCAGTAGGACCTCGGTTGGATGCTCTGCCATTGTGACTTTTGTCCGGCCGGTCACATTACCCGTCACCAGAGAAAACACTGGCTGCGTTATTTTTGTCGGGAGTGGGGGCAGACAGCAGCCGTTCCGCACACATCTGTCCGCAGCCCGCAAGCGCCCACAGCAGGTGCCCGCCAGGATCTGCCGACTCACAGCATAGACAACACGTGGGGGCTCTTCTCGGGGAGACGAGAAATTCCAAAGGCAGCGCCGAGGAGAAAACCAAATACGGCCACTGTTGTCTTTGAAAATCCTTTAAACCACCCTTAGAACTCCACACCTGGGCCCTTAGCCCATCACACGCAAGAATGAATTTCTTTTGTTTTTCTTAGATGCCAGCCTGTGGTGGCCTTTACAAATAAAAACAAACAGAAAACTTGGAGCAGCCAGTGAAGGCCAAGGTCAGATTTGACATGCCTCTCTGTGTGTGTGTGTGTGTGTGTGCGTGTGTGTGTGGTGTTCTCTGTCTCGCTTCCTCTTTTCTGGTTAACTGGTCCCAGATGCACTCAGGCATAATCGCAGGAACAGAAAGTAGAATGGGGGTCACTGAGGCTGAGGGAGGGGGAGGGGGAGTTGCTCTTTGGGTATGGAGTTTCCCATTGCAAGTTGGAAAGGTCTGAAGACCCGTTGCACGACAGTGTGAATGTGCCTTTCACTACTGAACTGCACACTTAAAAATGGTTGAGACAGTGAATTGTATGCTGTGTGCATTCTGTCAGAATTGAAATTTTAAATTGAACAGCAGACGCTTGGTAAATGGCAGCCGTGTGCCACCGCTTTGTATCATCATCACCTCATTTTCTCCCAACAGGCCCGCAACATGGGTGCCATTGTCTCCACTGCGCAGACGGGGACAGAGAGGCCCTGAGGAAGGAAGGGCAAGGTCACGGGACAAGCGCGTGCAATTCAAACGTGTGCCTGGGTGTTGGCGCTAAGGCTCACGCTGCTTTTCTTTGGACTAGTGTATATCCCGAAGTGGCCAGAAAGATTTCAAACACAATTTGAAAACCGCCCGGTTCGATGAATCTCACTAGCTGCCACCTGCCCGCAGACAAACATCGCATCTTTCTGCCAGCCCCAAGCACGCGTGGGGCGGGCCCGGCCCACCTTCTCACCACGCTGTGAGACTGGAGCACAGGCCTGGAGAGGTGAGGGCGCTGGCTGGGGCGGGGGGTGGGGAGGGGTAGGGGGGTACTTCCAGCAGAGGGAACAGTCAGGCAGAGGCCCTGAGGTGCAGGCGTGCCTGGAGGGACCTGGGGTGGTGGGGCTGGACGGAAGGAGTGAAGGGGACAGGAAGGGGAGGGCAGATGGCACCTGGCTGAGGCGCCACTGTAAGGACTGTGACTGGTGAGGAGGGAGTCCTGGGAGGTTTGGAGCAGAAGAGGCACATGATCTGACTTCGGTTTAGACTGGGGCGGTCTGGGGCTGGTGTTGCGGGGCGGATAGGTGGGGGTGAGGGCAGAACGAAGCCGGAGGCTGGTGACAAGGCCCCCCCCCCCCCCAGAGCGATGATGGCCGCTGGGACTAGGGTGGGAGTCGGGGAGGCAGGCACCACGGTAAATGCGGACGAAATGTTACAGAGCCTGGGTGTCCGCCCCAGGGGCGCCCCATCGTCCACGCCCACCTCGCCCATCCTCCAAGCTGCTGAAGTCGGGTTGGGGTGGGAGCTTTCTGTGCCAACATTCCTGTTTCCTTCCAGTCTGTAGTGGGAGTGTCCCAGACCCTCCGGGTCCTTCTCTGTTGGGTCTGTTGCCATGGAGACTGGCTTCCAACTTAACTTCTGGATAGAGAGAGAATGAATGGGTTTCTCTCCCAAATCTCTGGAAAGAGGAAGAGGGCAATAAATTGGGCCTGCTAGAACCCTCCCTTCCGGGACCTTCTCGAGATTGGGGGGGGGGGGGGCAGGGCATGAACTTTGATCTACAGTCTTCAGAGTTTCCGGCCTGAAAACAGTGCTGAGCTCTATTATTGTAAAGGATTCCTTCAGCAGATGCTTTTCATTCTTGGCTCAAGAACAATTAGACGATCAGTTCTTAGCCTTTCTGCAACACTGTAGCTATCTCTCTAGGAGTAACGCTCATTCTGCTGTATACTTCGGACGTATTTAAAAGCCCGTGACTAGTTAACCAGAAAAGAGGAAAAGCGAGAGAAAGAGAACAAACACCACACATGTACACACAGGCACATCATATTTGACCTTGGCCTTCACTGGCTGCTCCAAGTTTTTTGTTTGTTTTTTGTTTTGTTTCTCTTTGTAAAGGCCACCACTGGCCACCCTTGAGGCTTGACTGGTCCGCACAGGGCCAGGACTTTCTGAGATAAAACACTCCCCCTTATAGGGCTCTAAAACAGAATTGTTGTTTTTTTAATTAAAATGATTTTTCTATTATAAAAGCACCAAAAAGCTCATGACAGAAAATGTTTAAAAACATAGAAAATTAGAAAGAACAAAAACTAGCCACACACCCTGGCTGGTGTGGCTCAGTGGATTAAGCTCTGGCCTGCGAACCAAAGGGTCACCGGTTCGATTCCCAGTCAGGGCACATGCCTGGGTTGTGGGCCAGGTCCCCATTAAGGGGCACATCAGAGGCAACCACACATTGATGTTTCTCTCCCTCTCTCTCTCCCCCTACCCCTCTGTCTAAAAATAAATAAATAAAATCTTTTCTAAAAATGAAAAAAAAAACAACCAGTTACTTCTAGTCCCGCAGCCCCACTGCTGAGAGACATTGATCGTTAACATTTTAATATGCTTCCTTGTGATGATCTGAGACATTTTTCAGAAACGTAACTGGAATCGTATGGTATATCCAGTGGCATGCTATGAACCATCTCTCTCAAAATTAAAATCCCTCGTTTGTAGCACTTGCCAATTTCTGTGGTGCAAATACTCTCGCCGTGGCCCATTTCAAGCCACCAGCATCCATGGAATACGGACTTGGAAAGAAGTGCATAGAGCTACTTCTCGCCAGCCAGCAGGAGCCCAGAGCAGCATATTATAATATAATTTAAAATCGCGTCTATTTTTTCTAATCTTAAAATCAAGACATACTCATCCTTTAAAAATTCATAAAACAGAAACATGAAAGAAAAAAAGTGAAATCACCTATAATCACCCCTCCCCGTGCCTTTATTTTTTTTTAAGATTTTATTTATTTATTTTTAGAGAGGGAAGGGAGGGAGATAGATAGAGAAACATCAATGTGTGGTTGCTGGGGGTCATGGCCTGCAACCCAGGCATGTGCCCTGACTGGGAATCAAACCTGCGACACTTTAGTTCGCAGCCCGAGCTCAATCCACTGAGTTATGCCAGCCAGGGCTGCCCTCCCCCCTGCCTTTAAAGACAGCCACTGCCAGCAACCTGAGGCAAGTACCAACAGTCCCCTCACTGGGGACAGGGACATAAACAAAATAGCTTGCTCCCAAGTTCAAAAGCAGTACATAGTTAGGGCAGAGCGCTGGGGGAATGCAGAAGAGTCTCTGGCCTCTCATCTTTCAGAAGTAAAAGGAGGCTATTCTTCTGGCTGTTTTTCTTCTGTGCAGCTTTTTAACAAGGTTGGACTTGTAGCTGGACTCTGTCAGGTTGGAGGCATGGTAAGGGCACGTCCTCATGCCCCGAGGAAGGTGGACAGCCAGGGGAAAGGTGTACATTTTCAGTGATAATTAAAAACCCTACGGAGGCTTAAAGAGGCAGAAAATAATACTCTAGCTCCTTGGCGTGGAAAAGGGCCGTGAGGATGAAGTTCAGGTTACTTGAAGTTTTGGGGGACCCTGGGGTTGGCGCTCTGGGGCATCCTGGGTAATTCCGGACACTTGGCCCTTGTTCTGTCTCTGTTCCTCATCCACTGTCCAACGGGAGGGTAAGAACAGGAGAGAAACAACCAGGAAAGTCTAGCTCTTGCTCAAGCCCCCACACTAGTTCGTTCATTCATTGGAGTAACATTTCTGAGCAGTCCGTCTGTGGCAGGCAAGGGGTGCGCACCGGGATGGAGGAGATCGGGTGCCTGCCCTCCACGGCCAGGCTAACCAAGGAGCAGGCGCAGCGACCACAGCTCAGGGTTCGAGGAGTTACAGCAGACGGTTCAAGCAGAGTCCAGGGCTGTGCTCAGAGACTGGTAGCTAACTGCCTGCCGCCCCGCTGAGAAGGGATCCCAGGTTCAGGGACCGGCGGGGCAAGGCCTCCTGAGCCTGGGCGTCCGGATCCCTGTCTCCCACGGGCCTCCTCCAGATCCCACACCCTGTGGACCCACGGGCTGGTTTTTCCGGTTTGTTCCTCCAGGGTAATTTGCATATTTCCCCAAGAACCATCCAGACGCTGGCAGCCTGTTTTCAGACCTAGACGGGAGGCCTACAGTTGTTTCCAGAAATCTGGGTAAGTATTATTTAAGGTTCCTTTTCCTTCAGAACCCTCACAATTATTTAAGATTGTCTTATTTTAGATAGAAGTTTGCATCTTGTCTGTCGCACTAGAACATAGCTCCGGGGTGGAGGGTTGTTGTCTGTCTTAGTCACCGTGTGTCCCCAGCATGTCAGACGGTGCCTGGCACATAGTAGGTGCCAATATGGGTTTATTAAATTAACTAACTGCTTAGTTTGGGGAGGAGGTGAATTTGTGTGTTTAGTTTGCTCAGACCTTAAGAAAAGGTCCTTCAAGTCTTGTAGAGACATCACAGTGCTTTTTCTTTTTCTTTCTTTCTTTCTTTTCTTTTTAGTTTTTAGTTTTAAATAATTACAGACTACAGGCAGTTGTAAAAGTAATAGTATGGAGAGGTCCCACATGACCTCACAGCTCCTCGCACGGCTGTGGCCGTGCAGCTAAGTCTCAGCCCTTAGCTGGGAGACCGTGGTCTGCGGTGCGCAGCCCCTGGCGGCGGCATCCCCTCCCACCCCGTCTCTTCCCTCCCACTGCCAAACCCTGGCTGCACTGGGCATCTTTCTGGTTCTTAAAAAGCACCTTCTCTTACGCTGGCTGGTGTGACTTGGTTGGTTGGAGCATCGTCCCATAGACCAAAAGGTCGCAGGTTCAATCCCTGGTCAGGGCACATGCCTGGGTTGCAGGTTCAATCCCTTGTCAGGGTGCGTAGGAGAAGGCAACAATGGATGTTCTCTCTCGCATAGATGTCTCGCGCGCTCTCTCTAAAAGGAATGAAAAAATGTCCTTGGGTGAGGATAAAAAAGAATGGAAAAGCCTTCTCTCTCTTCCACCTCTGAGTCTTGACGTGTGCCGTCCCCTCCGCCCAGAGCACGTTCTTCCCCCCGCCCCCACCCCCATCTGACGTCCCCTTCTCCACGAAGCCACTTCTGGGTTCCGGCCCCCCCTTGCTATCCCCCTGTCTCTTTCTTCCATCACGGCGTCTATTCTGCTGGCTTGTCGTCATCTGTTCACTTGTCTGCCTCCACCACATTCCTGCTGCTTCTGCTGGAGTGCTCTCCCACCCATCCGCAGGGCTGTGCCCTGTATTTCCCTGCAGGCTCTGCTGGGATGGCTCCTCTGCCTTTCCCCTGCATCCCGCGGTCACTCCCGCCTGCCCATCACTTCCTGCCCCCTCACCCTGCCTCACTGTTCTTCCCTGGCGATCCCTTCCTGACCAAACGTTTACTGTTTGTTGAGCGGACTGCTAAGGGCGCGGACCCGACAACCAGACCACCCAAATGCAAATCTTGGTCCCACCACTTACTAGCTGTGCGATCTTGGGCAAGTCACTTGAGTCATTATCATTACGTGTCGGTGTATTACTGCCCGTGTCCCACCAGAACATAAGCCCCTGAGAGCAGGGAGTTTGTCAGTATTGTCCCCTGATCTGCCCCAAGGTCCAGAACAGGCCATCACACATCATATACCCTCCCTCATTCATTCGGCAAGCAGTTATGGAATGCCTGTAACACCCAGGGCCACCTCAGGGAGCGCGGGGCGCAACAGGGAAGAAGCAGCCAGGGGCCTGCCTTGAGAAGCTTATGTTCTATGGGCATCCATAGGTAAGTGAATAATTTAAAAATATGTTATTGAAGATAGGACTAAGTATTATAAACCAGACAGGAAGCTGGAGTAGAGGAAAGAAGTACTTTAGCCTGGTGACATTCAGGCTGAGGCCAGGCTAATGTCCAGGTCAGGGGACGAGTGTCCCAGGCAGGGGGGATGGCAAGTGCTAAGGCCCAGAGGGGAGGCCAGCCCGGGTGTTTGAGAAGCAGAAAGACGGCCGGTGCGGCTATGGTGTAGTGAACAAGTCGGGTGTGGGGGGCACGAGAAGCTTAGAGACAGGCGGGCCGATCACGCAGGACGTTGTAGCCCACTCTAAGGGGACTGGATTCCATCCTGGTGCAGTGGAAGCCTTCCGAGGCTTTTAAGCAGCCAGGTGACGGGACTGGTGTATGTGAAACAAAGGCCACTAGGGCGACTGTGGAGAGAACGGACTATAGGGCATCAGGAATATGTTTGTTGAGTGAATGAGTGAATTTGGCCCGAGCTGAGCTTTTTGTGCACTAGTTACCGGGAGGGGCAAAAGGAGGTTTACTGTTGTTTGCATGGAAAATAATAACAATAATTAAGAAAAAACAATACAAGAATAAACCATGTAGTGCGTACTCATAACTTTACACCTACTTTTTCCCCTCTGCCCTGTGGTTAGAGGCAGGCTAGCTCATGCTTCTCTGATGACAGGGTTGTTTATTCTTGAACTAAAAACCACTGTGGGCCTCCCTAGAGACCAGCCCAATAAAATACCACCCTGGGCCCCTTCAGGTAATAGGCACAATTGCCGCAGCCTCCAAAGAGCACATGGAGTTGATTACATGCAGTGCAAATTGCTAAGCCTGCTGGCATGGCTGGCTGCTGCCCCAATGCCGTCCTCAGTTCCTGGCTTACGGCTGCCCCTTGGCCCACCGCCGTGGTCTGAGATGATCCTCGGAGCCAGGGAAATCTGTGAATCCCTGGTTCCTGGGGCAATCACTGGAGGCCAGTCTTGCTGGGCAACTTTGGGCAAAGTCTTTCCCTCTCTGTGCCTCAATTTCTCCAGCTGAAACAAGGGAAGAAGGATCCCTGTGCTGGTGCAGAGGAGAGAGCACAGGGTTTAGAGCCAACAGCCTGGTTTGACTTTCATCACATACTTACCATATAACTTGGGGGAGGTCATTTGGCCTCTCTGAGCCCACAAATCATAATGGCTCACGTCCCATTGAACCTTACAGGGTAGTTGGGAGAATGAAATAGATTGGAAAGTGCTTTGTAAACTGGAGGTGCCCTCCAGTTTATTTGCTGCTGGTTTGATTTGCTGCTCCTAATGAAGTTCAGAGTTCTTTTGAAATGCTAATCAAGTACTAGTTGTGGACAGATATTTAAATAACTCCTTCATGGGAGGTATCTTTTGAGAACAAACATGTTATAGCTGGATGGGAGTGGATTTATGTCTCTTTCTCCCTCTGGGAAGGAAGGAAAGAATAAAGGGAGGGAGAGGGAGGAAAGAAGACCTCCCTTCCTCCTTTCCTCCTTTTTTCCTTTTCCTTTCTTCTCTCCTTCCTTCCTTTCATTGAAATAGAGCATATAGAGAGTGCACAAATCTTAAGTAGACAGCTGAATGACTTTTGAAGTACACTTATACCCACGTAATTACCACGTGGGTCAAGATACAGGACATTGCCATCACCAGAAGCTTTCCCGTGCCCCTTCTGAGCCGGTGTTCCCTCCCACAGCTAACCTGTCCTCTGACCGAGATCACCTCCGATCAGTGTGATCTGTTCCTCAAGTTCATACAAACATAACCCTACAGAATGCATCCTCATGCGTGGCTGTCAGCGTACCATTGTGTCTATGAGATTCACTCTTCTTGTTGTTATTAGCCAGACTTCCTTCTTTTTCATCATTGCATAATAGTCCACGGTTTGACTAGGGTGCCGTCCCTCCCTTCTGCTGCGATCAAACATGTGGGTTGTTGGCAGTTTGGGACTGCTATGAATGGAGCTTCTCTGAGCATGCGTGCACGTGTCTTGTGGTGGACAGAGCCCTCATTTATCAGGAGTGAAATTACTGGAGCAAAGAGAAGAACATATGTTTAGCTTTAGTGGATAATGTCAAACCCTTTTCCAGATGGAGGTGAACACTTTCATGAGCAGTGTATGAAAGTTTCATTTGCTCCTTATTCTCACCAGCACTTGGTATTGTCGGTCTTTTTAGTTTTAACAATTCAGACAGTGAGTGGTAGTATCCCACTGAGTTTTTTTATCCTTACCCAAGGACATGCTTATTGATTTTAGAGAGAGGGGAGGGGAAAGAGAAAGAAGGAGAAATACCAATGCAATATTCTCTTTGTCTGTTACCCTCATCAACACTTGGTGTGGTCAGTCTTCTGTTTTAGCCATTCTGATGGGTGAGTAGCAATGGCTCATTGGGTTGGAATTTCTATTTCTCCAATGACTAATGATGTTGAACATCTTTGCACATGCTTATTGGCCATTGGTGATCTTTTATGAAGTACTTATTTTGCCTATTCTTTGGGGGATTTTTTTTTTAGAAAGAGGGAGAGAGAGAAACATCCATGTGAAAGAGAAACATCAATCAGTTGCCTCCTGTTCACACCCCAACGGGGGACTGAACCCACAACCTAGGTATGTGCCCTGACCAGGGATCGAACCAGTGACCTTTCAGTGTATGGGACAATGCTCCAGCCAGCTGAGCTATACCAGCCTATTTTAAAAGTTGTCTCCTATAACTTAGAACTTAAGTTCTTTATAACTTAAAAGGGCTGCTTATACACTCTGGATACAAATCCTTTCTGGAAATACATATTGAAAATATCTCCTAGTAGTGTTTGGTATATGTTTTCACTCTCTTAAAGATGATGAATAGAAGTTCTTAATTTTAATGAAAGCTAGTTTATCCATCTTTTCTTTTATGCTCAAATTTTTGTGTCCCATTTAAGTGACCCCTGCCGACCCCCCGGACACATTTCTCACTCACTGGGCTCTTTCTCCTGCAGGATTGGCAATGGCCACACGGGACAGATCAAGCCTGAGGCTGCACCCAGTGGCCGAGCCGGCCACGGAGGGGGAGCCACGTCAGCCCATGGGCCGGGAGTTGTCCGAGGCCAACCGCTTTGCCTACGCCGCCCTCTGTGGCATATCCCTGTCCCAGCTGTTTCCAGAACCTGAGCAAAGGTGAGTACTTTCACCTCACAGAGGGAAGGTCATCCTTCTTCGGGGAGACCATCAGGGACACCCCAAGCGGCCTGCCAGGTGTTTGGGGCACTGCAAAAAGAAGGGAGTCATTGTGCTCGCCTTTAAGGAGCTCGCAGCCTGCCGGGGGATAGGACATCTCAGTCAGCACTCCCCAGCATTTTCTGAGCACCTACTGTGCGCCAGGCACCATTTGAAATACATGGAAGATACCCATGAATAAGGCGAACAAGGCAGACAGTATCCCTGCCCTCAGGTAGGACACAGTCTAATACGGAGATAAGATATTTATTGATTCATGCGACATGCATTTGTTGAACTACTACTATGTGCTGGGTGTACTACAAGACCCTGTAGGTAAAACAAAGAAGAGCAAGGTCAGGTGGGGGTGGGGCGGTACCTGGATATGACTGGATGACTGGATATAATAGCAACAGATGGGGTATCACGGGAGCAAAAGAATGACAAGTCTAATGATCATGTTAATATCTGCCATTGTCACTATGGAACATGTGCATTTAAATGTATATTTAAAGTTCTAATAGAGAGTTGTTCAGAGCTTGGTCTTTGGCCTTTAAGGGCTTCAAGGATTCTATGGGGAGAGAGTTTAGAGGCAGGAGGAGGCCAGTGAGGAGGCGGATGGGGTCACTGGGGAGACGAGGACAGTGACCAGGAGGTGGAGGGAGGGCACGGGCGAGACAGACCTTTCTCGGGGAGAATGGGGTTGACTTGGGAACGGGCTGGAGGTTGCTCGGGCAGAGGGAGGAACTAACTATCCCCAGAGGTCCAGGCGGGGAGGGCGCCTGGGAGGAGAGAGATATCATTACTGAGATGGGGAGCAGCAGGCCGGGGGACAGGAGATGACAGGAAGTTTTTACATCAGCAGGGTTTTCAAGATCCCTCCCCCGAAACCTCCCCCATGAGTAAATTTCCCCATGCCTTGGGTCTCTGCTGGGTGTATTTGTTTGATTGTATTGTTTTGTCTTTTATTTTTGTCTATCCCACTGGACCCAACACTTAAGTATATTCCTCTCCTTGGGGGTCACCTCCGGGAAGCCTTCCCTGACCTTCCCCACTGTCAGACCAGGGTGTCTCTCTACCTGTGTGCCCTGCGACCCATCACCGTGACCTCAGGATGCACTGTAACCCTTCCTGCACCCGCCACCCTGGCAGTTCGAGCTCCCAGAGAGCAGGAGCTGCCTTGTTCACCTCTGAGTCCCGGGGCCTTACACCCAGCCTAGCGCAGCAGAGACACAGGGCGAGGTCCACGGCAGGAGGGGGTAGACCCACACTGGCTTTATTAGCACAGGAGACGTTCCCTGGGCTTTGGATTCAGATCTGGGTTCAAATCCTCTGCCACTTTCCAGGTACATGTGACTGACCGTGTGCAGGGTACTTAATTTCCCTAAGCATCAGTCTCTTCGTCTGAGGGTGGGCTGACAAGACCCACCCTGGCAGGGGGATGACAAGAATTAAATGATTGGAGAAAGGTGGTCAAAAGGTACAAGCGTTTGTACAAGATAAGTAGGTCCGGGGGTGTAAGGTACAGCGTGAGTATAATTAACGCTGCTGTGCGGTAGACACGAAAGTGATTAAAAGAGTCAGTCCTACGAGTTCTCATCCCAAGAAAAATGATTTTTTGCTTTCTCTTTTTATTGTATCTATATGAGATGCTGGATGCTAACTAAGCTCCCTGTGGTGATCACTTCACAATATATGCTGATTTATGTGTATTAATACATGTAAGTTAAACTTATACAGAGACATATATATATATAAATATAAATTATATCTCAATAAAATTGAGGGAGAAGTAAATGAGATAATGTAGGTAAAGCCCACAGCACAGTGCCTGGCATGTAGTAGGTGCTCAGTAAATGGCACTGGTTACTTGCTAGCTCTGTGACTTGTTTCATTTGCTCCAGTTTCCTCATCTGTAAAATGGAGACAATACCGAGCTTCCTCCTGCTAGTCAGGGCATTTGGAGCTGCACGTCACAATAGATTCCTTGTTTCTCGCTTAACAGGAAATCAGAAGGTAGGGAGCTCCAGGCTTAATTCAGTGCCTTGAAAAGCCTGTGGGTTGGCTTCTCTGCAGTTCTCAGGCCTTTGCCTCCTGATCACATCATGGCTGCTGCGGTGCCACAAATCACATCCTCACAGCAAAAGGCCCAAGGCACAAGAAGGAGGGCAGGGATTCCCCTCAAGTCTCTCTCATCAGGTAGAAAAGCTTTCCCAGACTAGGCCAAGAAGGTTTCCCCTTTTGGCTAGAGCCAGTCACTTGTCCAAGCCTCTTCTGCAAAGGAGGCTGGGAAAAATAAAGTCACTTGCCATTTTTAACCTCTATTGTGAGAGGTGGGTTCTGCTGGCCAGGGAGAAGGGGCTGGGGAATTACTGCTGCAGAGGACAGCATCCGCCAGAGAGGGCGCTCGTGAGGAGGGAATGGGCTGACGGCCCCGTAGAGCCTGGCGTAGAGCTGCTGCCAAACAAATATTGGCTATTCTCATTATTAATAATGAAGTCACGTACTCTACCTGGAGGTTGGAATATATCTCATTGGATATTCTGTTCCCAAGCAAGCCAGAGTCCCATCTCCTGCAAGGGTTCAACTCTCTCCCTATTCCGGCCAATCCCAGTGCCCTGTCTAGGAAGACTCCATTTTTCTAGAAGCTTCCCCTGACCTGGTAAACCCCTACCCGATAAGCTGATACATAGGTGGGAAGAGCTTTGTGAACCTGGGCACTGTGCCAGGCCTGTGCTGGGCACCACTTGTGCGGGGCATGCAGGGAAGTGAGTTGTCGTCCTCTGCGCCCTCTCTCAAGCACGCGCCTAGGCATTGTTCTAAGCACGTGGCCCCGGAAGCGTTCCTTCCTTGAGGCATCCCTTCTGGAAAGTTTCTGATTCGGGATGCCAGCTCTTTCCACGTGCTTGGTCTTGGTTTTCCTTGGCCCAAAACACATTTTGCACACGGCATCCATTTGGTTTTTTTTTACAGCCCAGATATGCTCTTGGGTTCAGTCATCATAAGAAAACACTCTGTGGCCCTGGCCAATGTGGCTCAGTTGGTTGGAGCATCATCCTATGTACCAAAAGGTTCTGGGTTCGATTCCTGGTCAGGGCACATACCTAGGTTGCAGGTTCGCATCCCCTAGGATGCAGGTTGCATCCCCTGTTGGGATGCCAGCAGGAGGCAACCAATTGATGTTTCTCTCTCCCTTACTTTCTCTCTCTCTAGAATCAATAAATGTATCCTCAGTCAAGGATTTAAAAAAAAAAACAAAGCAAACATTCTGTCACCACTTTTGTCCCCATGGGACATAAAAGCAAGCCTTTAAGATACAATCAGCCCTGGCTGGCGTAGCTCAGTGGATTGAGCTCGGGCTGCGAACCAAAGCATCACAGGTTCGATTCCCAGTCAGGGCACATGCCTGGGTTACAGGCCATGGTCCCCAGCAACCACACATTGATGTTTCTCTCTCTCTCTCCCCCTTCCTTCCCTCTCTAAAAATAAATGAATAAAATCTTTTTTTAAAAATCTGTTTAAAAAGATACAATCATACCTCAGTACTCATCAGCTTCAGAACTTGTCAGACCCTGTACTCGTCATGTTTTGACAAGAAAAAAAATGTTTCGGCACTCGGCACTTGCTCAGGACTCGTCTCACTCATTAGAACTTGTATGGATCAAAACGCCATCCTGCAAGAGAAAATGTTTCATTATTCAGTACCCATAGGTTTCAGCACTCGTCATGAGTTCCAGAATGAATTAAGGATGAGTGCTGAGGTGCCACTGTACTTATTTCTTACCCGTGCTGTAAACATCACAGATGCCGTGTTCCACGATTGATTCTGCTCATCAAACGTGGAGACGTGCTGGGTAGAGCAGGGCCCATGTTGTCCGTGGAGGATGGGGTGTTTTAGCTTTCGGGCCGTGTGCTCTCTGCCCCAGCCCCTCAGCCTTGCTGTTACAGCCTAAAGCAGCCCGAGACCACGTGTAGAGGACCAGGTGTGACTGTGTGCCAGTGAAACTTAGTCTACGAGAGCAGGCCGCAGGCCAGCTGTGGCCGCCCGGGAGGTTTGCAGGCCCCTGGTGAGCAGGGAGAGCTCTGGACTCCGGATCTCTGGGCTCCAGGTGAGGCTCAGCCCTTCCCATCAGGGAGACCCTCAAGGAGGCATTGAATCTCTGCCACCCCAGGGGCTCCCCCTGCAAGTTTCGGTAAGGATGAAAGAGGGTGTTTGATGGCCCTGCCGTGCCAATGCCCGGCAAGCGGGGTGTCCCCAGGGGTGTAATCTCTGGGGAAGGGCGGTCTCTCCGTGGCTAAGCATGGCCTCCGGAGTCAGACTTGTGGTCTCGAACCCTGGAGCTGCCCCTTAGCCCCTCTGGGTCTGGGTGTCCTTATACCTGGAAGGGGTAAAATAGTACCCCCCTCCCTCACGGGGGTGTGATGGGAAGGGAACAGGCGGTGTGTACAAAGCACTTAGCATGGGGACCGAGGGATAGTTGCTCCGTGGTTGTTGTTTTTTGTCAGTGTTGCTGTTGATTTTTGTGGATCTCGACTAGACCTCCCACCACTTTAGAAGTGATTACCAAGGGCCTGCCCCTCAAAAATGCTGTTTGTTATTTGATAAATGGCTGCACCACCACTCTCCATATGTATAAAATATTTATTTTTTTAAATGGTTGGAGTCTCTTTCTTTTTTTAAAAAAATATTTACTCATTTTTAGAGAGGGAAGGGAGGGAGAAAGAGAAAGAGAGAGAAACATCAATGTGCGGTTGCTGGGGGCCATGGCCTGCAACCCAGGCATGTGCCCTGATTGGGAATGGAACCTGTGACACTTTGGTTCACATTCTATGCTCAAACCGCTGAGCTATGCCAGCCAGGGCTCACAAAATATTTATTAATTTACTCATTCTTTTAAAGAAACACACATATAGTGCTTTGTATGTGCCATGACATTTTCAACACCTACCCCTAGGAAATAGGTTTCATCGGTATTGCCTCTTTTACAGATAAAGAAACCGGGGCACAGAGAGGTTAGGTAACTTGTCCAAGATCCCACAGCGAGAGGCAGAGCTGTGTGCTCCTGACCCCTCCCCTCTTGTTACCAGACGCTTCTCTGCCTCCCAGACCTTCTTCACAGAGGCAGGGCCAGGCCACACTGCCGCCCTCAGCCCTGCGCCCTCTTGGCAGGGAAGTTTGTTCCTAAGGCATGTCCAGTCCACGTGGCCCTCCCCCACCCCCTGCACACCCCCCACCCACACCATCCGGGGTGGCCCCACCCAGTACTGGCAGCGAAGTAAGCTGTCGTAGCTGGAGGAGCAGCAGCTAACATTCGTTGAGGGTCATTGGGTGCCGGGCTCTGTGACCGTGTCACCGTGTCATCTGATCTCTCCAGCCAACCGGAGGCATGTCCCGGTGTCAACTGCAGTTTACGGCAGAGAGAAATGAAGCTGAGAGAGAAGAAGAAAAGACGCGAGGGGGACACCCCAGGGGACTCGGGGGCCTCACTCGGCGCCCTGTTCCCCACTGCCTCCCTTGGCCATCCCATAAGTAAAAATAATGGCGCCAGGTGAACGCAAGGGGAACAGCTACTACGTGCCCGGCCCTGCTCTGGGTGCTTCCTGTGTATCGTCTCATTTAACCTCCACAGCCTTCTGATGTTGATCTCTTAAACCCACTTGCAGACAAGGGAACTGAGGCACAGAGAGGTCAGTTACTTTTGCAACTTGCTGCATCACTCGCATGCCCCTTTAAGAATAAAAGACTTTCCCCCAGCTGCTGGGAGGGTGTGACTGGCTGATGGGGAGGCATAAAGACCCACCCGTCCTGCCCCGTGAGGACAACTCTGAAGGGTCACCTGCCTTCAGCACTCCCTGCAGGGTTGCCTGAGGCCTCCGTAGAGACAACATGCACCTCAACTGCTCCCCCTTCCCGGCCCTGCATCCTCCCTGCCCTCCCACAAACACTGATCCCAAGAGGATCCTGATAATCATTTCAGAGCTGCCTCCTGGGGACCTGGACCCTAACAGTGGGGCCAGGATTTGAACCTGAGCTTTTCCCCGCTCCTGTCAGGAGCCCAGCCTGCAGAGATCTCTCTACTTGGGCTTTGGTGGCCCTGGCTCTCAGGACTGGGGTGGGTGGGCTGCCTGGGATCCCTGGGAGCTGGGACCCCGTGGTGCGAGCAGGAAGCTTCTTGATGTCACCACCATCCCCAGGGAGCTCTGCTTGTTTCTGGGAGGCCTGATCCCACCCCACTCTGGCCAGAACGGGGGTGCAGAACCCAGTATGGGGAACGCCAGGGCAGTGGGGTGGACGCAGGCAGGGTGCTGGGTTGGGAGATAGACCTGACCTCTAGGTCTCAGCCTTGGCTTTGGGCTCCTAGCTGACTCCCCTGCCCCGGGTCCCTCTGCCCACCTCCCACTCTGCTTACCACCCTCACTGCCACGAGTGGTGACTTCGAGGCAACGGCTAATGTGGATGCTGCCGCTGTCCCCCAGATGCCATGTACCTGCTGCAGCTGTCTCTCCGCTCCTGGGGCTCCTCCTTCCCTGCAGCGTCCCGGCCACCACCCACCCAGGGACTCCCGTGGGGCTCACATGCCCACTGTGGAGAGAGACCCCACAGTGGCAGTGGCCGTGGAGGGAGGGCAGACTCCTCTGCCCTTTATCTGTTGCCGCGTGGCCGACTTTTCCCGAGAAAACACGCCCTCGGTGACTTCCAACGGCAGCAAACCTCCTTCCGTGGGAAGCCTGTTCTAGGCACTGCTCCTCACCTCCCCCACAGGCCCGTCTGTGGCTCCCTCTCTGCACCCACCAGGGCTTGATTCCCGCCCCTGCCCGAGCGCATCACACGCCACCGGGGTCCGTCAGTCACACCCCTGTGTCCACCCGCTGGGAGCTTCTCCTCAGAGGCCGCACCTCACTCCCCTTCAATCCCTCAGCCCCGGCACAGCCCTGGCTCAGGCCGGGCCCAGGGCCCAGGGTCAGGGGCTGCTCGTGGACCTGGTGTATCAACCTCTCCGGCCCAAGGTTCGCTGGGGGAAGAAGCTAAAGTCCCCACCACCTGAAATTGGCTCCTCTGCGCTCCACACACTACGGTCACCGTGGTTTTTGACATGTTGGCTGTTCACATGCGTGAACCCGTCCACGGTGAACTGCCCAATGGCCTCGTGAGGTGCACAGTCTGGAAGCTTCGGGATCTCAGTTTTGTCTGTCTTCCAGCTCCTTCTGCACGGAGTTTGTGGCGGGCCTGGTGACGTGGCTGGAGCTGTCCGAAGCTGTCTTGCCGACCATGAACGCCTTTGCCAGCGGCGTGGGAGGAGAGGGGGCTGACATGTTTGCTCAGATTTTAATGAAGGACCCCATCTTGAAGGAGGACCCGTTGGTGATCACCCAGGTACACCTACCCACCCCACTCCAGGTGGCGGCTGCCCGGGGAAGCCAGAACAAGTCATTTCCTTAGTCAGTCTGAACATGGCTCCTGTGTGGGGCAGTGGAAAGATAAAATATTTCATCCAAATACTATCAGGTGATGATGATCAATGCTAATGTTACATCATCATTATTGAGTATTTACTATTGATTTAATTTCGTACGTAAGCAGCGCTTAGTATGTGCAAGTACCTTTACAAATATTAACTCATTTAATTCTCAAAGCAACTTCGTGAGGTTGGTTGTAAGACCATTCCCGTTTTGTAGAGGAGAAAACTCAGGCACAGGGAGGTTAAGTAACTCGTTCAAGATCATGCAGCCGACAAGGGGCTGAGCCTGGATTTGAACCTGGGCAGTCTGGCTCCAGAGCCCCTGCTCCTGAGTGCCGTGCAACAGTGCCTTTTGTCAGAAGCAGCAGCTTTGCTGTGTGCCCTCGGGCTTGTCACACACCCGCTGTGTGTGCCGTGCAGCAGGCAGCTGTGACTCGGCTGGGGCGGCTCAAGGGAACGGATTTAAAACGGCACTTCCCCTCCTTCATGCCACTCCCGGAAATCCTCACGCATTTATTCATTTGCTTACTTATTTGTCTGACTCACCAGCAGAGTATAAGGCAGAGGTGTTGTCTGTCTGGTCCTCCCACTTAGTAAGAGTCAATAGATGTTTGTCAAATGAGCCGGCTGCTTGCATTCAACTGATTGCCAATTCCTGTTACTTTTCCCCAGGACCTGCTGAGCTTCTCCCTCAAGGATGGTGAGTGGATCTCTGAGTTGTGTAAACTGCGGGCGCTCATCTTCACCTGGGGCCCGGCTGCCCCTGGTCTTTTTGGTGCGAGGAAGGAAGGGGAGCCCCACGTAGTAGGGCAGCCGGTGCGAATGTCCTTCGTGCCCAGCACTGTGTGGTACTTCCCAGCGGTCACCTCATTTTATTCCTCGTGATGCCCTGAGGTTTTCACCTTCTAAGTAGCTCTTGATCTGGCCCTTCCCTGACTCCACCCTCCACCACCCTGGTCTGAGCCACCTCCAGGCCCCTCCTGGATGACAGCAGGGGTCTCCTCCCACCACTCTGGCCAGCAGTTTGTCTTCCACCCTGCAGCTCAAACGACCTTTCCCAGACACACATGTGACGATGCCGCCTTCTGGCCCGGTACCCACGGCCACTCCTGTGCACTCGGGAGAGAGATGGCCCTTCCAGGTGGGCTGGCCCCTCCCCCTCATCTCTCACCACGCACTCCTCCCTTCTCCCCACATAGAGTGCACCCTGCTTCGGGCACCAGCGTCTTTGCGCAGGCCCCTCCCCTGGCAGGAGAAGGTCCTGCCCCCAACGCCCAGCTACTCTCCACCGCTCAGTCGTCACTCCCCGGGGGCAGCCTCCTGGCCTCCCGCCTGTCGCAGTCGAACACCTAGCCACGCGCTTCTGTGTTTGGTAGCTGGCCTGCCCTCCAGACCGCGGGCTCCACGGGGGCGGAACCGTGCCGGTTTTCTTCACCGCCCACGTCCAGCACCTGCACACAGTAAACACTCAGTAAGCATCCGCTGACTGGGTTCACGAGATGGATCCTAGTGGTCCGTTTTGTGGACGAGGAAGTCCGCTCCGAGAGGGGAAGCAATCTGCCCACAATTGCTCAGTGAGTGGCAGGACAGGATTTCACTACATTCGTTTCCCAGGGCTGTCGAAACGAGTCACCGTAGACGGGTGGCTTAAAGCAGCAGAAACGTGTTCTCTCGTGGTTCTGGAAGCCAAAAGCCTGAAAGCGAGGTGTCAGCAGGGTCTCCCTCCCTCTGCAGGCTGCAGGCTGCAGGCGAGAATCCTTCCTGCCTCTTTCAGCAGCCGGTAGCTCCACGTGTCCTTGGCTTGTGGCTGCGTCGCTCTAGTCTCCGCCTTCCTCTCCCACGCTTTCTCCTCCTCCTCCCTTCCCTCTCCTCTGCGTGGCTCTGATGAAGACATTGTCTGAGCTGACCTCGCCTGGAGATCTTTAACTTAGCTACGGTAGCCCCCCCCCCGCCCCTTATCTGCAGTTCAGCTTTCTGTGGTTTCCGTTACCCACGGCCCACCACCATTTGAAAATATTAAGTGGAAAATTCCAGAAATAAACAACGCATATGTTTTAAACTGCAGGCCGTTCTAAGTAGTGTGGTGAAAGCTTGAAGCCCAGCTCCATCTGGCCTGGGATATGAATCATCTTTTCGCCCAGCGTGTCCCCGCCCCGTCCCATTAGTCACATCATAGCCATCTCGGTCGTCAGACCATCGATCAGAGAGACCACAGTCACCTAACTGTTGCTACGCTATGTTGTTGTAGTGGTCTGTTTACTCTTAGTTATTGGTCATCTCTGACTCTGCTTAATTTATAAATTTGCCTTTATTATGGGTGTGGATCTGTACAGGAAAAAACAGTGTGTGTGCAGGGTGCAGTACGATCCACAATTTGAGGCACCCACCCAGGGCCTTGGATTGGGGCAGAGAAGGTCGGTGTCAGAGTCAGGCTCTTTGCTCGGTGCCTTCCCCACAGGCTCCGTGAGGGCGGGGCCCTCGTCTGGACTGTTCGCCGCCGTCTCTCAGCGTCTGCAGCGGTGATGGGCGCATGGTGGGCATTTAGTGGTGGATGGGTGGATAGAAAGATGGAAGGAAGAATGGACGGACAGAAGGATGGATGGGTGGCCTTTCTTCAGAGAATGAGCTTCGGTACTAACAGGGTGGTTTGTCTGAACTTGAGGGTTGAACTGCACAGCAGAGGCGGAGGCCCTCTGCGCTGCTGGACTTCTCCTGGGTGTGCGGCCAGGCGGTTAGTCAGGAAATCAGCCCAGGAAACCCACGTGAAAAGCTGCGTTTCTCAGAACTTCCTGGAGGGTCGGCCTTTACCAACAGTATTAGGATCTTAGTCCCAGAACAATGCCCTTTGGGCAGCTGGGTGGAATTTTGTGTGGGTGCATGTTCATCATTTTCTTCTCCTCATCCTGTGACAACCCACGAAGCTCTGCCCACACAACTGGACAAATCCATCTCTCGTGTGTGGAGGGTTAGCCTGAACCTGAGCTTGCGCTGCACCGGGTTTTGCCGCCTGGGCGTGATTGACATTTGGGGCTGGACCCTTCTTTGTCGGGGGGCCACCCTGTGCATCGTTGGGTGTTTGGGGGCATCCCTGAACTCTAGTCACTAGATACCAGAAGCACTTTCTGAGTTGTAACAACCAAAAATGTCTCTACGTGTTTTCAAATGTCCTCTGGACGGTGGGGGGCTCGGGTGGGGGGAGGACGGGGCTGTACCTGTTGCAGAAACAGCCCCGGTGTGAGAGCTGGTGCTCTCAGACCCGAGACATGGCCCTGTCAGGTGGGGCTGGTTGATGTGTACTAGGTCATCTTTGCAGCTGTTCTAGTGGCTCTCCTAGGTCCTATACGACGCTTGTGAATGATTGCAGAGCACACAATCCTCAGATCAGCTGCTAAGTGGGTCCTGTTATTATTCCCCACCTGCAGGAGAAGGATACTGGGCTCAGAAGGCTGAGCAACCCAGGACTACATGTCAAAGTTTAAAACTTCCATTTAGGAGAAAGTGAGTCTCCCTGGGAGCTCTGCGTTGGGTCTCAGGAAACTTCAGCTGGATTGTGGATTTTGCCCCCTGTCCTCTGAAGCCAAAGACGGCCTCAGTCGAGGCCTTGGGACCCGAGGGGCGGGGGTGTGCACCGCACGGGGCGGCAGTCTCTGCCGCAGACTTGGCCTTTGTTCCCAAATTGCAAGCCCCGCCTCCCTGATGAAGCAGAAGGGTTTGAGATACTGGTCTTTCCTCGTGGCGAAATGCAAAATGTTGTCACTGCTGGCGGGGTTCTCCACCAGCATCCCAGAGAGTCACCCGACGTGGATCAGCATTAAAAAGGGCTGCCCCGTTCATTCGGCAGGTGAGAACTGAGCACCCACGGCAGGCGCCAAGCCCTGGACTGGGCTCCAGGTGTAATTTTAACTACAGCTGCTATTCATTGCGTGCCTACTATGGGCAGGCCCTGAGCTCAGTACTTTATTCTAATTCTTTCAAACCCCTCAGCAACTCTGGGAGGTGCACTACCGTCCCCATATTACGGAACAGGAAAATACAGCACAGAGCAGGAAGTAACCTGCCCCCAGCCACAGAGCCAGAAAGTCAGGGGTTCGAGATTCCAACCCAGGCGGCGTGATTCCAGAGTCCACTCTCGGCCGCTGCTGTGCTTCCCACATGGAGGGAAATGGATAAAGCCCTTGTCCATTTCCCTTAAAGCTGCCTTAGAGAGGGAGGGTGAGGCCAGAAGGCAGAGTGGGTGCCCCGTGTGGCAGGGCGCAGCCGATTTTGCCAGCATCCTAGAGGGTGGAGCTGGAGGGGGGCCTCAGAAGCAGCCCCTCTGCTCCCACGACACTGGTCATGACATTGTCCCCCCAAAATAAGCTGTGACGAGAAAAGGCAGGACCAGGCCAGAAACAACCTGAGTTCAGCTTCTGGCCCATGAGGGGACCCATCCTAAAGTTCCCGACCCTCCAGCCACACCGGCCCTCCAGCCACACTGTCCCTCACAAAGTGAAGACCCTGAACCTCCACATGAAAGCTAAAACCCACTGCCCAGCTGCAGCCAGGGTGATGGGGATGAGGTGTGGTTACCTTATATGAAAAAAAAAATTTAACCTAGGGTGAAAATTGGGATAAATATTCTAAATATTACACATAAAAATATGTAACTGGAGCAGTCGGTGAATCGCTGGACGGTAGTAGAATGGGCCACGTAAGCAGCTGTGTGACTACATCCCGAGAGGTGTGTCCTCAGACCCTGGGGACAGGAGAGGCACAGGGTCCCTGAGCTGTCCTAGCAGCCCGCAGCTCTGAGCTCCGCCACCCTCTCAGCCGTGTGACTTAGAAAGTGCCTCAGCCTCAGCCTCTCTGCACTGCTCTTCCCCGTCTGCAAAACGGGGCCTCGCACGACCCGCTTCCTGGGACCGTTGGGAGGATCAGCAACCCCAGATGCAGGCTGCTGGAGTGATGCCCAGCTAGCTCTCAGCAGGAGCACCAAGGATGCTGGTTTTCCTTCCCGGTGGAGGGGACACAGGGGTCTTCTTGATCACGCCCTGACCCCCAGGCGTGAGTGTCCGCAGCTCAGACTGGCAGGTGCGCCCCTGTCGGCGCACTGCTGGGTTTCTGAGAGCTGGACCCCTTGCTGCAGAATCAGCTGGGAGTTGCTGCAAGTGCCGACTCCTGAGCCCCGGGCCAGATCGTCTGCACGCAGGGCCGAGGCATCTGCACTTTCACCAGCTCCCCTGTGGCCTCCCCTTGGAGTCCCTGTGGGAGGGGCCACCTTCCTCTCCGAGACGCCGCACCTGGATTCAAGTGTGCAGTGACTTGCAGACTCCTGTCTCCCAGGGTTGTCTAAAGACAGTGGTGCAGAGGCTGCTTTTGGGGTGTTTCCACTCCATTTGACCTTGGACTTTTGAAAGTTCCTCCCTATGACAGGGAACAGGCACTCTGAGGCTGACCCTTAGCTCTCTGTGCTGGAAGGGACCTCAGGGGACCAGCTCCTTGGTCCTTCAGGTGGGTTTCCAAAAGCACTGGCCTAGGCACCAGACTGGGCGGGACCTGAGCAGCCCCCAGGACCAGTAAGGCTGGGGCGTCAAACTCATCCTCACCAGGGGCCACATCAGCCTTGCGGTTGCCTTCAAAGGGCCAAATGTAATTTCAACTCCTTAACAGTTAAGGAGTAGTTGCATTTATACAGTCCTAAAATTATTTCGGCCCTTTAAA